ACAGCTACTGGAGTGGGAGAGGCAGAGCTGGGGCTCCCAGATTGCAGCTTGTTAGGGACTGGATTGTGTCCCCGACAAAACGTGGGATGGAATTCCAATCTGTGGATGTGATCCTATTTGGATATAAACCCAAAAAACCAAACCCACTGTCCTGGAGTCATTCTGACTCACAGCGCCCCTAGAGGACAGAGTGGAACTCTCCCAGAAGGTTTCCAAGTCTGTCAACCCTCATGGATGCAAAGCCCAAATCAAACCCACTGTCATCAGTCATTGACTCATAGAGACCTCCATTGGGTTTCCAAGGCTGTCAATCTTTATGGAAGTAGATTGCCTCATCTTCCTCCAGCAGAGCAGTGGGTGGGTTTGAATCGCTGACCTGGTTAGCAAGCAAATGCCTTACCCACTGTGTCACCAGAGCTCCTGGTTTGGAAATAAGGTGTTCTGAAACTGTTGGTCTCTCCCCATCCAGAGTACAGAAGAGTGAAGCAAATTTGAAAGAGTAATTGCCCACGGGAACCCCATCCTCCATGACCCTGAGACCAGAACTAGATGGTGCCCAGCTACCACTGCCGACTGCTCTGAAAGGAATTACAATAGGAAGTTCTGGATAGAGTGGGAGAACAATGTGGAACAAAACTCAAAATCCTATAAAATAGATCAGGCAGCCTGGTCTGATAGAGACTGGTGAAACCTTCCCAGACTGTGGCCTCTCCTCCCCCTTAGGGCCTGGAATTGAACTCACTCCTGTGGGCTTCCATCCAAACAATAAAGGGGCATAGAAGGTGAACATTTACACTCCTTAGAACAATCAACCATGGGAGATCAGAAGGGAAGTGTTAGCACAGGGAGACAGCTCAGGGGGCAGGAATGCATAGGAAGGAAAGACACAGGGAAGAGGTAACCACAGGGAGGAAGTGGGAAGAGAGCCATTACACTGTAGGGAATTGGAGTCAATGTCATGAAACAAAATGTGTGTGAACTGCTGTGTGGAAAATGAATTTGCTCTGTCAACTTTCACCTAAACCACTTTGGAAAAAAAAAAAAGACCAGGCTTCCTAGTCTGGTAGAGACGGGAGAAATTCCAAGAGTATGAGCCTTAGACACCCTTCAAGCCAGGAAATGAATTCCCCACCACCCTGTGGCTCAATTTTCAGGCAAATGATAGACAGGCCTATAAGGTGAACAGTAACCCCAGGGAGATTCGCACTCCTTAGAACAGCCAACCCTAGGAGATCAAAGGGCAGTGTGTGCCAGGGATAAAGTTTGGAAAGCAGGAAGGGACAGGAATGAAGGAGAAGGGGAACAGGAAACAGGGAGGAAGTGCAAAGGGGGCCGTGACCTTGTGGGGATGGAAATGAATGTCACGAAAGGAAACGTAGAACAACAGGTGAACGGAAAACTAATGAGCTCTGTAAACTTTCACCCAAATCACAATAAAAAGTTAAATAAAAAAAAGGATGAGTCGTCTTCCTTTTTATGATAATGAGATCATACCCTAAAAGGGTGGGCTCTAAGTCTACTCACTTCTGAGTTATAAAACAAATAGACACAAAGATACCCACACATGGAGGGAAGGCAGAGGCCATGTAAGGACTGTCTATAAACCAAGGAGCCAAGGGACACTGGGACTGCCTACAAAAGAGGACCTGACATGGCCAAGAATGTGACTTGGACTCTTAGCCTCCAGAACCATGAGACAGTCAACTCCAGTTCTTAGGGAACCAAGACATGGCTCAAGCTCCATCCCCAGTAGACTGTGGTTGGTCTCCTGATGACAGTGTTGACCAGATAGCTGAGGCCCTGGGAGTGGCTGTGTCCCTGGGGGCTTCAATGCTGGTGTGTGGTGCAGTGAATTACTTGGTATGGCCTTTCTCGCCATGGTCTTTGTAACTCCCAGTGGATTACTGGGTGGGACCATGCAATTAAGGTGTATGGAACTCTAAGTAGGGATTGGTTGGGCTTGTCAATCTGCTGGGCTTAAAATGAGCCCTCCTAGAGGCAGAGAATGGGATCCACTGCCATCAACAGAGAAGAGCCAGAGGGGAGTGGAGTGAGTCCTTGGACCCGATCCCGCCTTCACAGAGAGATGGCTGGACTGGCTGAGATGACCAGCTGAAAGGACCACAGAGGAACCAAGGGGCATAAGACAGAGTGGCGGATTTGCCAGCCCAGAGGGCAAGAAAGCTGAGTGTCTCTGGGCAGAAGGCTTGCTGGTGCCGTGGGGTGCACCTAGGTGCCTCTATCAGCAGAGCTACAAGAGCTTTGTAACATTTGCCTGAGCAGGGCAGAGGCCAGGTCGAGAAGCCAAGGGCCAGAGAGACAGCAGAGGGGAGACTGTCCTGATTGAAGAACTGCCCTGGGCGCATTCCTGAACCTGAATTGTACCCTGTTACTTCCCTACTAACCCACAATCATGAGTATTGTCTGAGTTCTGTGTGGCCATTGCAATGAATTATCGAACCCAGCAGAGAAATAGTGAGTGCCCTGGGAGGCACGGCTGGTGTCAGAGCTGGTAAAAGGCTGGAGGGTGGCGGCATGTCTGGTCTCATAGGAATCAGCCTTGGGCTGCTCATAGTGATTCTGTCTCCCTCTCATAGGAATCAGCCTTGGGCTGCTTATAGTGATTCTGTCTCCCTCTTGGGAAGTTAGAGAAGGTCAGAAGATGCTGCCCCCCATGCCCTTTTTGCATGGTGGCTCCCCCAGCCCCTCACCTCATGTTGAGTTCCTCCAGCACGTTGTTGACCTTGAGGGCCTCACCCACCGCCGAGGCCCCAGGGTCACCAAAGCCATTATATGAGATATCCAGGACTTTCAGGAAGGTGTTCGCCTAAAACACAAAAGAGCGAAGCCATGGGGGCCAGGCCTGGCAGTGGTCAGTGCTGGGGGGGGGTCACAGCCTGGGAACCTGTGGACCCTGCAGGCACTTGGTGCCGCCCGGCAGGGGCTCGAGTCCCTTGTTTTCATGACCTATGAGTCCCCAGCATCTAGGGGAGCAGTGGGATGCTGCAGAGTGTGCCTGGAGCCAAAAGTGCCAGGCTGGTTGTGGAGGATTGAATATGCCCCTAAAAACTATGTTCTGATGTCCTGGCCCCCGTACTTATAGATGTGACCCTGTTTAGAAATGTTGGTTTCCTTTTGTTGTGTTGATGACATCATACCAGAGGAGAGTGGGCCATAAATTCAATCACATCTGAGTTATTAAAAAAAAAAAAAAAAAAGAGCAGAATAAACTTAGAGACACACAGGGGAAGACACCATGCAAAGACAGACACACATGATGGATATGTCCACAGGCCCAGGAATGCCAAGGATCGTGGCTCCTAGAAGCTGAAACAGACAAGGAAGGGGCTCCCCGTAGAGCCACACCCTGAATCCGGATTTCTAGCCTCCCGAACTGTGAGAAGATACAGTCTTCTTCTCAGAAGCCAGCTACTTGTGGCATTTTCGGTCAAAGCAGGACAAGTGACAAAGCAGGTGTTATCTGCGGGCAGCACATGAGCATGACCGACAGCTGGTGTGTGTCACTGGAGTTCATGAGTGACTGGCCAGCTGAGTGTCTATCCTGCTGGGGAAGATGTGTGACATGCAGTTCTGTGACAGAAGAAGGAGTCATGGAATGGGCTAGGAAAACAGAGCCTCTTAAGGAAAGGAAACACACTTTAAACCCCACCTTCAAGACCTAAGATGCATTTCTGAAGAGCTGCAAAGAGGGAGAGCTGGCACCCAGAGACCCTGCCCCACTGTGGTAGCTGTGTGTCAGCTGGGCTGGGCCTGGTTGAGTGGCTGGGCAGCCGGATGGAGTGATTCCCCGTGATGAGACTGGTCATCAACTCCATGGTGGGATCTACTGGAGCAGCTGCCTGAGGGATGTAGGCTGCTTCCAGTAGATAAGGAGACGCTTTGAGAAAGGTCTGGGGCTTTTTGGCACACATGGACCCTGCGTATAGCCCAGTCCTCCTTCAGCAGCCTGTCATGTTGCCTGCTGATCTTGGAACCATTAACGGATTGAACTTGTGGCCTGCCATGTTGTTTGCTAATCTTGGGACTTTTTATTCGTTGACCTTGGGTTTGCCAGCCTCAGCAGCCAGCAGCTGCCTGAGTTAAGAGAACCCTCCAGTTTCAGTGGGTCGGGAGCAAGAGGCAGAGCTGAAGCCCAAGGTCGAGGGGCTTTCACCCAGCCCCCAGCGCTGGCACTTTGAACTCGGTCTTCTAGCTTCCTAAACTGTAAGAGAATAAACTCCTGTTTGTTAAAGCCACCCATTGTGGCATGTCTGTTATAGTAGGCTAGAGAATCGAAGCACCCACTGATGACATGTGGAGGGGTGGATTGGGCAGAGCACCTCATACCTCCAGTCCCCTGGCAAAGGCTACGGCTCCTGGGCCTCGAAGGTGATTCCAGCTTACGTTGAGTTCGGTGAGTCCTGTGTTTTCAGCCAGAGCTGGTCCGAGGGTCTCTCCTACAGAAACACCAAGGGAGATTGCATTTGTTGTGTTCGTTCATTCAAAACAGGAAGCATAGGAACGTGAGCAGACACCTGACCACCAGTGCTCACTGAAACACTAATCACAAGTTAAAAGGTGGAAACAACAGACATGCTCATGAAAGATGACGGACCAACACAATGTGGTCTGTCCATACAATGGAACACAGCTCAGCCACAAAGAGAAATGAAGTCCTGACGCATGCCTCCATGTGAACCTTGGAGATAATATTTTGCTGAGCAAAATAAGTCCTTCACAAAAAGACAAGTATCGTATGATCTCATTTTTATGAAATAAGTAAATACATAGACACCGAAGATGATTGATGGTTAACAGGCATGGAAGGGGGAGGGAAGGGGCACTGAGTTGATGTCAATGGTGATGGAATGATCTGGAAAAAGCTAATGAGGATGGCTGCACGACTTGAAGGATGCAATCAGCCTAACAAATGGTCGAGATGGTGCGTTCTTTGTAATGTGTACGTCCACCAAGATTAAATAAAACGAATTCATAACAAACCAGAAAACAATGATACTGATGTCTGCCACATCCAGACACTCTTCTGGGCACACGGTCCCAGAGGCTGATCCAATGTGGGCCCTGTTGTGGCTTCAAGGGGCTCACATTCAATGGGAGATATGCATACAAGTCAATGGGATCTGAGCTTTTAGACAACAAACAGAGTGCATTCGCCAGGTAAGGCAACAGAGTGGGGATGGGGCCTGCCTGGAGGGGTCAGGGATGTGAAGCCAGAGACAGGCACCTTGAAGACAGGAGTTCAGCATCTGTGCACGTGGAGAGGGAATAAAGGGAAGAATGAGTGTGAAGAAGGAGGGAGAGCACAGGGTACCTGAAGGGTGCATCTTGACTGGGGCAGGGGTAGTGGGAAGGGGGAGCCAGTGAAACAAAGGGGAGTGATGGACACTGGAGAGATGCTGAGACCCCAAATGCCAGGCCAAGGGGTGTGGGCTCTGCCCCGTGGGTGGCAAGGAGTCCCCCAAACCAAAAACCCCACTGCTGTTGACTTGATGCCAACCCATGCCAACCTCGTGTGTCAGAGGAGACTTGCTGTGGGGTTCTCATGTCTGTGGTCTTCATGGAGGCAGGTCACCAGGTCTTTCTTCAGCTATACTCTGGGTGGATCCGAACACGCAACCTTTAGGTTAGTCATTGAGCACGAGATGTTTATGACAACCAGGGGCCTGAGGAGCCTCAGGAGGGCTTTTTTATTGTTCCCCAAATTTTATTGCGATTTGAGTGAAATTTTACAGAGCAAATTCATTTTCTATACAGCAGTTCATACATTTTGTCTCATAACATTGACTGCAATCCCCATGATGTAACAGCTCTCTTCCCACTTCCTCCCTGTGGTTACCTCTTCCCTGTGTCCTTTCCTATGCACTCCTGTCTCCCTGTGCACACACTGCCCTTCCGTTCTCCCATGATTGACTGATCACTCCAAGGAGTGTATCTGCCTGGTGTAAATGTTCACCCCATATGCCTGTCTATGTTTGGCTAGAAGCTACAGGAGTGAGTTCAGTTCCAGACCCAGGAGGGCTTTAAGTAAAGAAGGGACAAAGCTGTATTGGGATTTCAACAGGAACCTTAGTGCCAGGCGTAGAGGATGGGTTAGGATAGGCTGAGGCTCAGATGAGAGCCGGGGAGACTAGTGGGAAGGCTCATGCCATAGTCTAAGCAAGAAAGTTATAAGGCCAGCCCAGCTGGGACAGAGGGGACTTAGTGGTGATGGAGAAAGGGAAGGGGTGGGGTGGGATGGGTGAAAACACCAGAGAGGTATTCATGTAAGATGGGCAGAGGCCCCACCCTGCTCCCTGTCACTACTCGGGCCATTTAGCTGCCAGTTCTCACAAGCACTGGACCTTCCCATTTGGAACTGTTAATTCCTTCTTCTCCTGGCAACCAGATCTGCCTCCTTCTAGTCTGTGCTCATGGCAGCACCGGGAAAACTTGCCAGCCTGCTGAGTGGGGGCTCCCTGAGGTTCCCTCTCCACTTGCCAGTCCATCCGGCTAGGCTCGGCCATCCCCAGCTCCCACCAGCTTGCGTGTCCCTCGAGGTGTGCATATCGAGCCCCTTGTCCAAGGTCCCAGCACCTGGAGCAAGTCTGTTGTTGTTATGTGCCATCGAGTCAGACCTGACTCATAGCGACCCCTCCTTGGGTTTCTGAGGCAGTATCACTATGTAAGTAGATTGCCCAACCTTCCTTGTGAGGAGTGGCTGGTGGGTTTGAACTGCCAGCCTTCTGGTGAGCAGTCAAGAGACTTAGGCACTAGGCCCCCAGAGCTCCTGGAGCAAGTCTAGGAAGGCTTGAATAAACGCACAGAGGAGCAGCAGAATGAATGAACTAGAGCGCTCAGCGGCCTGCTGGGACCAAACATGCTGCTGGCCGTAGACAGATTCAGCACCTTGGAGAGCTCCCGGGCAGCGTGAGGCCTCCCTGCCGGCTCGGCTACCCTGAGAACAAACAGGACCCCACGCCCAGCGCTGGTCAGGCACCCCCAGGCGCTTTCCTCCTTCCTCAGACCCTTCTGGGGGGAAAGGGGTGGTCTCCCATTTTGTGGTGCAGCCCCTTCCTTATGGAACAGCTTGGGGGTAAGAAGGTTCTTCCTTTAACTACTTGAAACTGACTTCCTCTAAGTGTTTATCCTCGGTCTCTGTGACCCGCAGCTATCCTAAGAGGTCTGTGCTACCATCCCGTTGGGTAGGTGGGGGAACAAGCACAAGGTACCTCACTCCTCAAGACAGCTGGGTCCACCCACGGTTCCCTCTTGGGGAAACAAAATGGCCTGTCTGAGTCTACCCTTTGCCAGGCAGAAGACCCTCCCTGTGGTGGTTAAGGTTATGTGTCATCTTGGCTGGGCAGCTGGATGTAGTTATTCCCCACGATGAGACTGGTCATCAGCTCCATGGTGGGATCTACTGCAGTAGCTGAGTAGCTGCCTTAGGGATGGGGTCTGCCTCCAGAATATAAGGAGAAGCTTTGAGAAAGGTCTTTGACCTTTTTGGCATGCTTGGATCTCACATGTAGCCGAGTCTTCATTCAGCAGCCTGCCATGTTCCCTGCTGATCTTGGGACTGTTTCTAGATTTGAACCAGTGGCCTGCTATGTTGCTTTGATAATTTGTAGACTGTGCCATTTTACTTGTTGATCTTGTGTCTGTCAACCTCAGCAGCCAGCAGCTGCCTGAGTTAGGAGAAGCCTCCAGCTCCAGTGGGCCAGGAGCAAGAGGCAGAGCTGAAGCCCAAGGTCTTCACCCAGCCCCTACAGCCTGGCACTTTGAAGTTGGACTTCTAGCCTCCTAAACTATAAGAGAACAAATTCCGGTTTGCTGTTGTTGTTGTTGTTATGTGCCGTCGAGTCAAACCTGACTCATAGCGACCCCTCCTTGGGTTTCCGAGGCAGTATCCCTACGGAAGTCGGATTGCCCAACCTATTTGTGGTATTTCCTGTTACAGCAGCACTAGAGAACCAATACACTCTCCCTGCACATGGGGACCACAGCTTCTAGCCCCTCCACCTTGATGCCTTTTGGGGTCCTGCCCTTTGACTGTCTAGGCCCAGAAGCAACACCCACAGGTAGTTAGCTATTGACTTTTCTTTTCACTGACTTCCCACAACTGACTCCTCAGAAGGCAAACTGGCTTTCTGGTAGCTAAACCCTGGCACCATCTCACTCTCTCCAAGCAGCTTCAGACAGAGAAGCAATTCCCAAAGCGTTAGAGGGGACAAACCTCCAGGGACATCCATTAGCACACAAAACTGCCGCGGTGTGTTCTGAGCGAGCAGGCTGGCGGAGCGCCCCGTTTGTTCATTCTGTCTCCCCTTTGCACTTTTCTTCAAACCAGCCTTCCTAGACCTATGCTAGGTGCTCAGACCGTGCACAGGCCTCTCCTCAAAAGTCTGGTTCCCCTACCACTGTCAACCACTCGGAGGGGCATCGGTGCAGGAGGTCCTGGATAGAGTGGGAGAACAACGTGGAACAAAACTCACAATCCTAAAAAAGACCAGGTTTGCTGGTCTGATAGGGCCTGGTGAGACCCCCGAAACTATTGCCCTAGTTACCCTTCAGGTCTGGAACTGAACTCATTCCTGTGGCTTCCAGCCAAACAACAGACAGGCATATGAGGTTAACATTTACATCAGGTAGCTATGCTCCCTGGAACCATCAATAATGGGAGAACAGAAGTGCAGTGTTTGCACAGGGAGATAGCCAGGGGGCAGGAATGCATAGGAAAAAAGGACACAGGGAAGAGGTTACTGTGGGGAGGAAGTGGGAAGAGAGCTTTTACATGGTGGGGAATTGCAATCAATGTCATGAAACAAAATGTGTATGAACTGCTGTGTGGAAAATGAATTTGCTCTGTCAACTTTCACCCAAATCATAGTAAAAGGTAAAAAAAAAAAAAAAAAAAAAAAAGAAAAACACAGCAGTCTGGCTCTCAACCCAGACTGCCAGGGAATTCTTATAATTGATGGTAGTATCTGGGGCCAGGTAGGTAGAAGTGTATGTTGTTGGCAAAACATAAAGTCCATGCAAAGGCCCTGGGGCATAACAGAAAGGGTGAGATCAAACAATCTTGCAATATTTGGAATAAAATCCTTGTGGTTTTGCTATGATCTACAGCCCTGTTGCCCCTCCTGCCTCTCCACAGCCTGGACACTGTCTCCAGCTCACCAGCCCGGTCACACTGGCACCTATCAGTCTGGGAGCCGGACCTGCATGTTCACTGTCCCTTTACTTGGAAACTTCTCCCTGGTCTTGCCAGAGCTGCTTTCTCCCCACTCTGAACATTTCAAAGGAGCTCTGGCAGCATAGTGCCTAAGGCATTTGACTGCTAACCGGATGGCTGGCAGTTCAAACCCACCAGCCACTCCATGGAAGGAAGACTGGGCGATCTACTTCCACGAAGATTTACAGCCTTGGAAACCCAGTAGGTGTCACTATGAATCAGAATGTACTTGTTGGCAGTGGGTGTGGTTTGGGCTTTGCTTCTGTGAAGATTGACAGCCTTGGAGACCCTCTAGAGCAGTTCCACTCTGTCCTCTAGGGGCGCTGTAGGTCAGAATCAACTCCATGGCAGTTTTATTATTTGGGCTGCACATTTCAGTGTACATGACACCTCCTTGTAGAGGCCTCCTTTCTAAACCAGAGGATCACCTCCCCCCACCCCATACTTTCTAGAACCATGCCGTTTGTTTGTTTTGTGGCACCAACAATGACTGAGCATTATCTCATTAACTTGAGTTCCTGGAGGTCAAAGACCTTGTTTTGTTCACAGCGGAGTCCTGAGTGGAGGAATCAGACCCAATACCCATGGTAGTGGGCACTCCTTGGATAAACAGTTCTGTGTGTCCAGAGTGGGGGAAAATGGGGAGTGGAAACTTCTAGAGGGTTCTCAGTGGAGTCTTGCCAGCCCCACCCACCTCCACCTGAGGAAGTCCAGGGAGTGTTACCTGCTCCATCACTCAGCTCATTATGGCTCAAGTCCAGCGACCGCAGGCTGGTGTGGACCAGCAGGAGCTCAGCAAGGGACAGGGCCGCCCGCTCCTCCAGGCCGTTCCCTGCCAGCTGCACCTTTCTCAGGGCCGGGTTTGCCACCAGGGCGGCACAGAGGGTCTGGGCTCCCACGGCCCCCAGCTGGTTCTCTGAGAGGTCCACATCTGTGGGGTGGCAACACGCCC